TTTTTTTTTCAGGTCTTCCAAGGTTTGCCAGCCAACCAGAATCTTCTTCTGCTTATGCTGGAAACAGCGCAGTTCTGAATTGTGAAGTAAATGCAGATTTGGTTCCATTTGTGAGGTGGGAACAGAACAGACAGCCTCTTCTTCTAGATGACAGAATTGTGAAACTTCCAAGTGGAACGCTGGTTATCAGCAACGTGACGGAAGGAGATGGGGGACTGTATCGTTGTGTCATTGAAAGCGGTGGGCCGCCAAAGTATAGTGATGAAGCTGAACTGAAAATCCTTCCAGGTATTCATTCATTATTAGGACTAATGTTTTATAATAAGCACTGCTATTACATGTGGTATGTTATTGTCAACGTAAGGAAGGTGTTTCAGTTTCTTACAGAGGTGAAAAGAGAAAACATGTCAGAAAGATTCAGTATTTAATGATTGCATTAATAAGTAAAACTCTTATCAAGCAAAAAATATGTTCAATATCTAATGGCACATTCTTGGCCAAAGAAATATTAGCATTGTGTCTTTTGTCAAACTCTTGTTTTCTGTTACTATCTTAAAATACAGTGCCTTTACTTAGTTCCTTTGACTTACAAGAATGAGACTCAGTCAGGCTAGTTTATATGAGAAGAATAGGGTGGTAACGCTTAATATGACAGCTTAGAGATGCTTACAAACAAGGACTCTAAGATTTTCATGTGTTTCCCATTTTTATGTAAGCTCGCCTCTTTCAGTCTCTTCTCTTGGTGTGTCACTGGGGTTTTTGTCCCCAGTGACTCTCCTTATAATCTGTATATCTTGTCGCATCCTTAGAATTCCTGTTTAGTCATAACTTCCTCTCACTGGTTGCTCATCATACCACCCTGAACGCACCCAATCTCATTTGGTCTCGGAAACTAAGCGGGGTCAGGTCTGGTTAGTACTTGGATGGAAGACCACCAGGGAATACCAGGTGCTGTAGGCTTTTTTTTTGGAGTCTTGGTGTGGCGCTCTAGGATAAGCACTCAACCTCAAGGTTGATGGTTCAAACTCACCAGCCACTTCTTGGAAACCCTATACAGGGTCACTATGAGTTGGAATCTACTTGATAGCACTTAATAACAACAACAATAGTTTTCTTTATACTCTTGATCCTTCGTGATCTTACAGCTTATGTTCCTGCTCCCAGCTATCAGATTCTTTCCATATTTCTTACTTCAAGTTTGAGGTTATGGATATCATTATTTGGGCTGTTTTCATGTAGGGCTAACTCATGGGCTCATTTTTTAATGTGAGGATTGGCTTGCAAAAATGAGACCAAGTTTTTGAGCAGCAACTATTGAAGATGCTCCTGATGGTCCTTGAAGTGATTTTTAAATGTAACTTCTTTCTTTGTCCTTATCATCACTGCCGTGTCTTTTCTGTCCCAGTTTAGTTCAGCAGCCTCAATGCTTTTATTAAAATGTCTTTTACATCATGTCATGCCTCTGATCCTAACTCCTTAATGGTTTCTCATCTCATTTAGAGTCCTTGGTCTGTAAGGCTTTATATAATCTTAACTCCACCTCCCTTCCACTTCCCACTCCCTATCTCTTCCTCGTCTCTCTCTTACTCTGATTTTGGCCACATTGGTACTGTGTTTAATGTGCTGAACTGCAAAGGTGGTTTGAACTACAAGATCACCGGTTCAACCATCCGCTCCTAGGAAACCCTATACAGGGTTGCTATGGGTCAGAACTGACTCGATGGCACTTAATGAAAACAACATGTGCAAAAATATGAAGCACCAACCATTCCTCATTCCTTTCAGAACCATTTCCACTCCCCAGTTGGGTTTCAGTAATCTGTTGTAAGGACCACACAGAACTCAGATACCATACCAGTTATGGTTTTACTAGAGAAGCTAACAGGTTACAATTCAGGGTCAGAAATGCTCAGGGCACAGTTGTTCCAGTTAGCAGCTGATAAATGTCCATAGGACATACCATTCCACCATAAGCCTCAGCCTGAAGTCACTTGGCTTGCCTAGCTCCTTCACTTTAGTGACTGGAGGCACCCCACTCTACAAGCAAGTTACCTGCCCACAGTCACTCAGCTTTACTTACTCTGTGGGCTGAGAAGTCTTGGTTACGTTGCTGCTGCTCCTCTGCCACTTGTTTGCTATCACAGCTTTCTGTCCCTGTATCAAGGAGAGGGTGCAGTGTGCAGGGATCGCTGGATCCAAAGGATGCGCTCCATCCACTGCTGGCTCTTGAATGGTAGTAACATTCTCCATTCCTGCTTCTGAGATGGTTCATCTTAACTCACGGTAAATTTCCAAGTTCTCACAATTACAGTGAACTCTGTTAACATCCACAGCTGAATCATGTCATCCTATCAGTGTCTTCTCTTATCCCTCTTCTCTTATCCAGACGCATCAGGATGGAAACATTTAATGGGAGTTGCAGACTATGGCTAGAAGAGACATCAGATAATGCACTACACTACATTATGTTACTTCGAATACTCCCAACACGGGCTCTCTTTAGGGCCTCTGCACTTGCTAGTCCTTTGTTTGGCTCACTCTCTCACACTCCAGCTTCATTGACCACTCTATTTAAAACCATCTTTTTCTACCCCCACCCTTTCTTCTTCCTTCCCGCTTTATTTTACTTAACAAGACATCTCCACCTACATACTGTTTGTCCCTCCATTAGAGTGTAAGCTGTGTAGCTGGTGATAGCTTGAGAAGTAAAATTAAGCAAGAAGGAAGGGGAAAGTACTGGGGGGTAGAAACAAGATTGTTGTTTTAAATAGAATGGTCAGGGAATTCAATCTGCTGCCAAAAATAGTGCCTGGCATGTAAACATTTGTTGCAGCGACGTTAAATTAATTCTATCAAAGTTTATGGGTTATTAGGGCTACTTTGGAGCATGCGTTCTACCTACGTAAGACTAAACAAGAGAGCGCTGCTGCCATATACTTGCACTTCTCCTAGCCTACTTCCAGACTTCCTATTACATGACAAAGCTTGTATTTCTTTGCAACCTCTGGAGGAAGTTTCAAGAAAAATCCTTAAAACCGGATCCAAGAAAACAAGTTTCCTTAAGTCAAAGAACAAGACTGCTTGCTATTCAGTATCTTACTAGTGCTGCACATTTTAAGTAAGGGGGAGCTCTGCTTGTCAAGCACCGCCTTCTTGAGTAAAGCATACTGCTCATCTTCTGTAGAATTTTGGGGAAGATTTTGCTTTGAATTGTATTGGTTAAGAAGAAGTAGGTGGTTTGATGTCAGTCATGGAAGCTGGCTCTGTGATTGGCTACAGATGTGGGAGCAGGTTAATATCATCTTTAGAAGATGGCTGGCTGTTAGAAGCCTGGGGCAGTCACTGATGGGCTGACTTTCACAGGCTTGGTCATTGATGACAGTTGTCCTGATTGATCCATGTTTACTTGTTAGAGAACTGTCATTGGTGGCTTAGACACGTTGAACACCAGTTCTAGTGGTGGTTGCCATTGCTTCAGAGCATTTTGTGTGTATGTGTGTGAAAGTAAGAGGATCTGAGTCACATCTCTGTGCATGAGAACTATCGTTGTTAAAAAACAAGACTTGTTAGTAGAAGATAGATAGTGTGTTCTCTGCTTCACGGGGTGATATTTCTAGTCTTGTTTTTCAGTTGATTTATAAGCACCCTGAAGGCAGGAACTTTAACTTACATATCCTTAAGAGCTTATAGCCTAGCACTTTGCACCTAGAAGGTATTTGAGATCATGCTAATTTAAATGGAATTCCTTGCATCACTTTTGCTTAAAATGCACTTTGTCATACAAAGCAATGCAGATTGAATAGGAATTAACCATTCCTCATTCTGAAAGTTGGAGTCCTGGTGTAGCCCTGTGGGCTAATGCGCTGGACTGCAAAGTCATTTGAACCACAAGGTCGATGGTTCAAGTTCACCAGTGGCTCCTTGGAAACCCTATACAGGGTTGCTATGGGTTGGAAACGACTCCGATGGTATTTAACAACATCAATGAAAGTCTGGAGTGCTGGTGGCATAGCAGGTTATATGTTGGACTACTAACTTGGAAGTTCAACAGTTCAAATCCACCAGCTGCTCCATGGGGAAAAAGATGAAGCACTCTGCTGCTCCCATATAGATGTGCAGCCTGGGAACCCCTAGGGAGTGGGTCTGAGTCGGAATCCACTTGACGGCAGTAGGTTTTTTGGGTTGGCACCATTAAAGTGATAAAGTCCTTTCATAATGATTGTCGTGATTTGTATGTTTTTTTCTAGACCCCGATGATGGTACATCAGACTTGATGTTTTTGAAACAGCCATCTTCCTTCGTCAGAGTTGTTGGTCAGAGTGCAGTGTTGCCGTGTGTTGCTACAGGACTTCCTGCTCCGACCATTAGGTGGATGAAAAATGAGGAGACACTTGACACAGAAAGGTAAATGTTGTCTGCCTAAAAGCCTTTTCAGCTTTATCTTGAGAATGGGTCTAATTGTATTTTGGACTGCCGATTAATAAACAGTGATTATCTGCTTCATTTTTATTTAAACTTACTATAATGCTCATGTATCATCCTTGAAATACATTTATATACTCTAGCTAGTTAGGTTGTATAAAGAAAAAAAAGCTTTGAGAATATTAAGAGAATTATTTCCATTTGTTCTTTCTGAAGCTACAGTCTGCTTAGCTCAGGGCTTCAGGATACCATCCTTACATTTTTGCTAGAACTTCCAGTCCTGACTCTTTTCAATCGCTCTCATGTGCATTCTGCTGATAGTCATTTTTTCCTTTGCTCAAACAATGTGTTCCTTATTCTTCTGCTTTATAAAATCATACCAGCCTTCTGCTATCATTACAAATGTTTCCTCTTTCACAAAAGTCACCTCAGTTAACACCAGCCACCCTGTCCTCCCTTCCACCCACTTCATCACTCTGTAAGTGAGATGTATTTTTCTAAGTTGTATTCTGAGAAGAAAACTAGGGTAGTAGTAGCAATGGGATTCTATCTGTAACATTAAAACTACGCAACTTACAATTTGACACTTTAGAGCAGTTAGTTTCTTGAGCTTTGGTGTTGTGGACATTTTGGGCCAGATCCTTCTCTGTCGCTGGAGACTGTTTTTATCTTGTGCATTCTTGATTGTATAGTAGTGCTCCTAGTCTCTGTCACTAGATGACAATAGCATCTCAAGTGATGACAGTCAGAAATGTCTCTAGATGTTACTAGATGTCTTGTAGGTAGGCAGCACCTCCCTTAGACAAGCTTAGGACCTAAAAGAGAGAGGAACCTTGACATAGGAGATTCAAGTTTCCGGCTCTAAGAGCAGAACTTTTTTTTTTTTTTTTTTAGTAAATGTTTTTTTTTGGATTGAGTGAAAGTTTACAGGGCACATCATCAGCTTCACATTCAACCATTCATATAGCTTGTTTCATTACATTGATTATTATCCCCTCCATATA